CATTGAGCAAGGGACTAATATGTCTTATTTCAGGAAGATCATCACTATGAGTAAGGACTAGAGAAAGACGGATCAGTGGGGAGAAAGCTACCTTAACTCAGATTGAGAAAAAGAAGTCGGACGTGGCTGGCAGCTATTAGAAGGAAGAGGAGAAGAATAATGAAACTCTTTTCGTAGGAACAAAAGGAACAGATAAAGTGTTCCAGAGGAAGAAAATAAGGGGGTAGCTTAAGGAATGCAGGAAAGTGCATTAAGGAATCAAATATAGTAAAGAATAAAAGCATTGAACCCACAATTTAGTAGCCAACTCAGAATCGTTCTCAGATCGAAGGGGAGCATTGCCAGTTACCATGCCAGAATGGCAGATGCAACTGGATGGTTGCTGGCCACTTGGGCCAGTTTGGGACAAATGGGGGATTTACAGCCATCCTCTCTGAAAAGAGCCTTAACTACTTACATGCAACACAACTCTCAGATTCATATGATAGCTCTGATCTCTTGTACTTTAGCCCTACCTAGGCTTCTAAGAGCTCAGGGCATTCAAAGGAAGCTACCATCAGGGGACAGAACAAATGAAAACTGCTGTTGAGGGACAGAGGATAGCTAGAGAAAGTGCAAAATGAGCACAGCATCCCTGAGGTTGAGTCTCTCTATAGATCACTCCATGTCTCATAATCTCTGTCTCTTCCATATGTTACATCCCAACTTGGGGCCTCTTTGTCTACAGATTTTAGAGAACCAAACAACTTCTTAAAAAAGAATCTTACTTCCTTCCCATCTATTTCTTTGACTCCCTATATTCTATTTCTGCAGATGGCTGGAGAATTTGTGGACTTATGAGCAGGAGTACAGGTATGTGGGTTTGGGGCAGAGGTGAGTACAGCAGAGACACTGACTCCTCCGCATGCACCAGCTGGCTGTACTGCTGCTGTAGCCAGCCCTGTGCATACCTGTGGTCATGGGAGAAAGGCTGTGTCATCAGAGCCTGAGAATGAAGACAGAAGAGGAAGGAACTACGTTGAGACATGAGAGGAGACTTCAATAAAGTCGGTATTGGATGAGGAAGGATGAATGCATACAACCTCAGCATGCAGATCAAAAGCCAGTAGTTTCATATCCCAAGAAGCAGCCAACAAGGTAGGAAGCCAGTTCTCTTTGCACCTTCTACTGAGATACAGCAGGGCTTGGAGATTGGAATTGACCAGGCCCTCGAGGAGATTTCTACCACTCTTTCTTGGTTCATTGAGCATTCCTATCAATCCCCACAAGAGTCATAAACTCCTCATACAATGTATACTCAATATATATGTGGGCCATTTTCTTTTACTAAACTACAACTCTCAGAGGGCATTCACCCTGTCAGTCAATGTCCTTGGCACACAACGGGGTTCAAATAATACCTACTAGTTGAATGAAGGCCCGTGTCCTGACCACTTCTGGTGCTACTATTTTTTTGTGACACCAAAAAACTTTAGATTTTTTTGACAATCTAAAGTTCCTTCATCTTCTGTTTTTTTTTTTTTTAATCTCTTATGGTTATTGCTTTTCTGTAAGTGATTCACCATCAATGACTCATCACCCCCTAGAGAAGGTGACCAAAATTAAACTTCCAATTTCACCCACAGAATCTACTCTTTCTTTCCTGTCCTGAAACTATCAGTTTTCCAAACAAGAGCAAATCTTCAGTTTTTCCTAAATGAAATTATTTTCTCTGCCCAAATGAGTGGCAGATTGTGAAGTATAGATGATGGAGTCAGGTGGAGTTGAGTGAGAATACAACTCTGTCTTCAGGTTAGTTATCTCTAAGCTTGAGATCTCTATCCTGCTACCAATGGCAAAGGTTGCTGAATTATAATTATTAATATTTTAAATAAATATTTATTTTAGGTATTAGTAGTAGCTGTTTTACTACCCTATTACGTAGTTACTAAGTACTAAGAACCGTGCTATTACTTTAATCTTCACAACAACTTGGTGAGGAAGGTTCTCATGTTACCTCCATTGTCCCAGAAGGAGGAGACTGAAGCTGGTTAAGGATCTTGCCCAAGGTAACAGAGAGCTACTAAGTGTGGGAAAATAGAAACTGAAACACAGGCAGTGGAACTTCAGGACCGAGGCTACATTGACTGGCAAGAAGAACGGTAATGAGCAGTTTTCAAAAAATCATGACAACGTTAATTCTATGGTGTTGTCAGAATTTATTGTTTTACCGTCTTAGATCTCTTTTACTATCACTAAAAAAGTCTACCCTAATTTCCTGTGATGCAGATGACTTTTTTGTGTGTGTTTGTGCCCTCAGTATCACAGTATAATAAATAACTAGGTCTGCTTCCAGAAAACAAGATGAGGGGGAAAGAGGAGATGACACAGAGATGTTTGCTCGTCTAGGAGTCTCACTCACTGGCTGCCATTTGTTTATTGCCCAAATGTTTGACTTGGCCCCTAAAGCCCTTCGACACTAGAATATCAGCAGAGTCATAACATTCAAAGTCAATTTATTTTCCTCACTTTGTTTTCTTTCTTTTCTATGTGTTTTTAGACCTCCCTTTTCAATGTGTAACTAATATTTATCCAAAGTACCATTTTTTTTTTTCCAGATTTTGCCTGTGGTCTCTCTACACATTTATTTTTTAATTTCCAGAGACACTTAAATTTGTAACTTACTAAGCATTTATTACACCATTAGCCCTATCCAGTTGTTACTAATTTATGTATAAAGGAGGATGAGCTTAAAAAAATAAAATAATAGAACTGAGCTCATTAGCTGCTCTCAAGAGGCATACCAGTTTTTCCTGACTGTTCTTTTATTCATGTTCAGGGTCCTGCAAATGATAATCACATATTATTGGATTCAACCAAAGCCTACTAAATATCTATAAGTGAATACCAGAAAGAGAGTTGCCCTATAATTATTGATAAGAAAATAAGCATTAGGGGATAAAGATGAGGTGGCTTAGGCTAACTTTGAATAGGCAAAGCCAAAGATAATGCTAATCATTGTATTCCCATGTCTTCCTATCAGCTACTTGTTCCTGGAAAAGCTTAACATGCAGAAAGTAGTTCCTAAGTAAACAAAGCAAAATACTCCTAAATCTGAGAAGTTTCTGTCTTTGGTGATGAGAGAATGACATATATCCCACTACGGTAAGTTAAAGACCTCCATTTTTGATGGATAAGTATACTCAGAAATATTTCTGATTTTAAAGAAGCCCTCGGCTTCTATTGGGATGGACAGGTAAGTCTCAATTCTTCAGCTTCTCATTATTTTTCTTCCTTCCAACTTTCAGACATCTGGTAATTTATACATTTGGGACTATCTTATTATGTGGCAGCTGAAGTGAAAATGGCAATTATTACTTTCAGTACAGAACAACTGAGAAGATCGTGCAGCCTCCTGCAGGAGGGCTCCAGTTGCTAAAAGATCCATACAGAAAAGATACTGGCACTGGCCTCATTTCCTATACAAAGTGGTGCCTGGGGAAGGGCACATACCTGCTCTGCTGAAGCAGGCCTGGCAACTTATCATACAGGAGCGCCACACACTGAAGTAATTATGCCCTAGGCTGCAGCTCAGCGGAGGAGTGATGTCCTGAGTCACACATGCATGGAAATCTGTGATATATGTTTATCCTATGACCTGATATTAGGAGAGTCAGAATTAACTCCTCCTCAACCCCAGGTTACACCATTAGTCATTAAACATGGGCTTCTTTATGCACATCTCCAAGTAGGTGACAAATGACAGGATGTAATGCCTAGACTTTAAGTGTTAGGAGACAGAAAAGCAGCCTTCAGATGTTAACTCCCTTCTTTTCCTCCCAGGAACACAAGGATGGAAAAACTGGGGATGGTACTAACATCTATAACCCCTATCTTAACAACCCTTAACTACCACCTCTATCCCCCATCCTGCATCCTCAAGAACTGAGGACCTATTTTTTATTTTTATTTTTCCCTGTAAGCACAGAGGAACACTGGAGACAGTGAGAAAAAAAGGAAACACAATTCTCTGTTCCAGGATCACATTTATAAACTTTTCCTTACATTCTTCCTAAAAAGAATAGCTTTTCTTCAAGACATTGGGAATCACTTGGTCATTATCTAAGATTAAATGAAAACTTCTCACCTGGTGATTGAGTGATAGCAGACATTTAAAAAGACATGACACTGGTTTTCCTCCTGTTTTAAGCAATTGAACTAGAAAAACTATTTAAGGTTCTTCCACTTCTAAAATGCAGGCATGCCATAATTTCCAAACTCAAAAGAACGACCCCCTGCAAATCTGAACCGAGTGCCTGCTATCTACACCACAGCAAGACTTCAGGATAATAAGAACATGCATAGTAATATACTGCTTCATACCCAGCCCTGGGTCTCCTTAAGAAAGCTATATACAAAGCCTGCTAACCTATAGAGGGGGAGAAAGTGATTGTTTTTCCCTTTGTTTCTCCTTCAGAAAAAGACCCCTCATTTTACAGTTGGCTACTTTTATTCTGCTTATTTTGACTTGAATTATTAGTACTGCTCAGATTTGAAAATACTTTAATAACCATTCTGAAGACTAACAAGCATAAAAAAATTACAGTCAGTTGTAAATTAATCACTGGTGAATTTCAAGCCAGTACTCTTGCATATTATTCTAAAGGAGATACTGTAATTTTCAGGTCACAATTCACGTGGTACAGCAGAATCCTTCATGCTGAGCATCAACCAAGGCAAATATTGTCCATGGTTACCCCCAAAGACAGAATCCCATTCAACATGGGGTCCACAGCTGAGGTTTGCATGCTATCAAAAATATGAAAAGCCCGACATCTCGCTCACCACATTCTCTCAGTGAGCTAAACCAAAGCACTGGGAACTGCATGTATGTTTTATCGAGGGGACCAGAAAAAGTGTGCAGATTCACTCAGAGACCAGAAAAAGTGAGGCACACAGGAGCAAAGCAGCCCCCTCATCCAAATCAAAGCCCTGCCGGGCAAGAAAATTGCTCCACTTACCCAGCATAGCGGTTGTTGTAAAGGTGACTATGCCCTGGTTGCAGAATCCTCAAAAAAAGCCAGCAAAGAGGTAGAAAAGCAGCTGGCTGGCTCCTGGGCTTCCGGAGGAACTTCATAGCGTTACAATGAGAGGAGTTGAAAGTTACAGCAGTCACCAGAGGAGGCTGGAGGTAGCTCACAGCACCCCCTGCTCACCACGCACATTGTCTGGGAAGGGGGTGGGGGAGGCTTGGGAATGAGCAAAATGTGACACTTCTTTCCAGCCACAAAGAAAAAAAAAAAAAGTTTAGGCTGCTAAGGAAGGGAAGTTGCTATTAAGACTTGGTCTTGGGAGGAGAAGCTGCAGCCCAGCCCAGCCCAGCCGGGAGCCTGATCCTTAATCAGGCTCCCCTGGAAGGGGCTGGGCCTCCATGGTGCTGACTCATGGCAGGGGTTGCTGGGTGCTGCTTCCTTTGGGTAACTCTTCTCTGTTTTGTGGTTGATTTGCTTTGCCAATTTAAGGCCCCTATGTTTTTTGGACAACCATTCTCCCTCTTACCTTCTGCATAAGGACCCTGTCCTAATTGCAAACAGTGTGTCCGAGGATGAACTCAGTAAAAGGCACTTCAGAACATTCCAGGCTTCATGTTTTGCTCTCTGACGACAGATTTCTGCACTGGTTCCCTGCATAATGAAATGCACAGTGCATCGTATTGATGAGCACGTGCACAGGAGGAATCTGTGCCACCTGGATTAGAGAAGTTGGCCTCAGCTGCCTCTCCTGACTGTGCTGGGAGGGAGCAGCAGCTTCGTTTGGCCACAGGGAGCTCTTGGTATTCCTTCTGCATAGAAGCACCCAGATCTTCTGTGATTTTAGAAGTTCTCATGGAGACTAGGGGGCCTCCAAGAGCATTACTACCCTGGCTGCACATTTGGAATCATTTAGGGAACCCAAGCATTTAAATCAGAATCCCGAGGGGTAGAATCAGTAATTTGAAAACTCCCCCAGATGATTCCAATGTTCAACCACTGCGCTGGTCTAGAGCAGGCTTCTCAAACTTCAGTACAAATCACCTGGGGTTCCTGTTGCTCAAAAGCTTTGGCATTGTAGTAGGCTGGGCCTAGGGCCTGAGATTCTGCATTTCCAATGAACTTCCAGGTGATAGCAATGTAACGGGATTTCCAGGCACACTTTATAAAAGCAAGAGTTGAATTTAGAATGAGGTCTGCCTTTTTTCTTCCTCTAAAGACAAAGGCAAAAACAAACAAACTAATCTAGAAAGAACCATTTCCTTCTCATTTTTCCCCTTATCAGTGATGGAGAAGCTGTTTTTGTTTTTGCATTCATTGCTTCTACCTGAACACATCAGAAAAACCATTTTGGGGGTGTGCTTTGCTCCATTAATGAGAACAATCTTAACTAGGGTGCCTCCTGTGACCTCATGCCACCTCCTGGTAGCACTCTGAAAGGGAGAATGAGCCAACATCTCCATCACACTTGGTCACGTTTCCTGAAAAGCGGTGCCCAAGAACTCCTGTACCTTCCATTTTGACAGCCCTGAGCAACTGTTAGAAGAGAAAGCACCAAACCTTTCCCATCTTCTCTCCATGGGGAGTTCAACCAAGCTCCTTTGACAGGTTCAATTTCAGGTTCATGACAGCTGAAATGACTTTCGTTTAAAATGGCTCTGAAAATCCTCAACTTTCCCAGCGTCAATTGAGTTAATTTCTTTTTCTGTGTCCTTCCCCCTACTACCTGGCAAGTCTTCTGCCATAAGACTCACTATACAGAATTAATATCTTTGTCTAATTTCTTCACACAACTGCCTTCTCCTGTAATGCAGAACTGTATCCCTTAGTTCTTCATACACATGCAGCTACTTACACTTCCTGGAGAGAAGCAAAACGTGCATTGAAGGAATGATCAGGAAAGCTTATTAAGTGAATGATAAAACTAAGAAGAGATTCAGTCAATTCTCTGTAGCTAAAGGAAAGAACATATAGGCAGCCGAGATGCCTTTGGGGAATGGAAATTCCCCAGATCTCCTGGTTTTGTTTCTTTCTTTGTTTATATTGTTATTTTCTTCCTTCCTGACTTTATGCCTAGTGCTTTGGTCTTTCTAAGCTGAGAAGGCTGCTCTGCAAGGCTCACAGGGATTCTTGAGGCCTTTTTGACAAGGCCAAGAACGTCTACACAACAGCCAGTGAACTGTTGAAACAAGAGGTTGCTGTGTAAATAAAACACTTCACCTCTTTGCATTTTAATATGTCAGAACAATGTATAAATCTGCCATATTATATCACAACATTAAACCAGGAATGTTCAGTCTCTGTCTAGGGATTAAGCTCATCTTCAAATCATTCTGGAGGTCTGGATCCAGCAAACATATTCGACAACGGCCTCTCTCAGATTCTGAGACCAAGGAAATAATTTCTTGAACCATTGAAAATGCAAAAGACCCTGCCAATATCCTATAGCCTTCCCAAAAATTTCAGATCAAAGAGAGGTTCTCAAACAATAGAAATCATTCCTAGCAATCTTCCTGGGCTTTCTTGAGGACCAGGTTATCTGATTAAACTTCTCTTGGAGAAGATAAGCTCCCATAAAAAGAGTGATAAATGAAGTCCATTTAGCAAGTGGGAGGAGAACAGTTTTTTTATAGATGGATTCAAAGATAAAAGTTCCATTTTTTTAAGGCAGTGAGAGGGAGTGAATTATTAAGCCAGTTACAGATTTGAAGATGAGAAATTCTATTTATTGGCTATGCCTTTCTCATATTTTAGTGAAAGAGGGAAATTTATCACAAGAAACATTATTATGCAGAGAAAGAAAGGAAACTACATTTGGGAAAGAAAGATGTCACACTGGATTGGGTCTGTTGGTGATCATTAGATAACTTTTAATATCTCTTTCAGATCTGAAATTTAATGTTATTAGAGGAAATATTTTGCAAATCCTCTTCGTAATTATATGAGTGAGAGCCACATAGGTTTATTTTGGGGAATCTATCTGGAGGAGATAAGTGGGTGTGTTGGGCTTTGTAGAACAGGCAACCTATCCATCGCATTTGGTTTGGGACCCATTTCTCAATGTTCTATTAGCATAGACCTTATTGCCTATCAGGTCTGTTTTACAGCTTTCTAGCATTGTTATAACCAGAGGGAATAGGAAACATGACATGAAGTTCCTGCCTTGTGGCTTGGCACTTTTGTGAGGAATGTTCTGGAGCTTCTTTGACAACACATTGCCAATGAATCTCTCTCCCCTCTACCTGATCAGCTTCTCCTGCTTTCTCCTGGTCTTCAGTCATTCTTTTATCCACCATCCCTATTTCTTTGTTCTTTTTTGAATTTGTTATTGCTTTATGTCTTCATTTTTGTCCAGCACACTCTTGAACCCTGACAATTGCTTTCCCTTCCTACCACCCTGCTGAAGTCTCTCTCAAAGGTCAGCAGTGACCTCTCAGTGGAAAAACACTCTGCCCTAGCCTGACTTCATGTTGCCTGGTTTCTGAGGCTGTTCACCGACCCTTGTTTGAAACTCTCTTCTCCCTTGGGATTTGGGACACTATCTTCTATTTTTCTGTTTTCTAGGGCTCTTTTTTTATGTTTTGCCTGCTTAAAAAGTCAGCGTTTCATGGGGGCCTGTGTCTGGCCCTCTTCTCTTCTTCATCCATATCACTCTAAATATAGTCTCTGAATGTGACCCTTAGCGCCGGTGGAAGGCCTGACACCCGGTGGTTCAACAAATTCCACAGAAACAGATCACTGATGCTGTGATAGACAGTTAGCAAGGTAGGTAAAGATCACGGAGTAGACATTAAACAGTGTATGAGAAGAAGCCAGCAGACCCTGAGGAGGAGGGCAATGTGTAGGGTGAGGGACGGGGACAACAGCACTGCAGACACAGGGAACAACATGTGCAAAGAAGCACTGTTCACAGCTTACTACTGTCTTTCACTGAATGTCAACAGGATGAAGAGTGACAGGTAGGTATCTCGTCTGGGCATTCAAGGACCTTCAAACTTTTCCTTTTTATCTTATTCAATATTCATTCAATGCTTCTGATCCTTTTCCTCCCTGTGTATTTGTTGGCAGTGTTTTCTGGGTAATGATGGCTACCTCTTTCCAGCGAAGTCCTTCTGACTCTTCAAGGTCCCAGGTCAGTCTCTTCCATGAATCTATTCAAGACCATTTTTATCCACAGCAGTCACTCTCTCTGAAAACCAGCATTTATTCACATGCACCCCATGCTTCAGTGGGTGTTGCAATTAATATTACAATTTGTTTTAAACTCCTCAGGGCCGGTACCCTATTATTTACACCTTCATGTTCCATAGTGCCTAGGGCGTGCTGGGTCCACAGCAGACATCCACTTGCAAAGCCATGGGACTTTCAGCCTGGTTCTCAAAGAGACCTCTCAATCGGAATCCTAGACTGCACCCTTGTCCTTAGGCAGATGTCTCAAAAGAAAAGTCTTGCTCGCTCCAGTGAAAAGCAATTTCAAGAGCATGTCTTTTTAATGGGCAAGCCTAGTATTATAATTTTAGGTCCTTGTAATTATGTTACAAAGATGTTTTATAGCATTTATAGAGCAAAATCAAAGTAGTTTGATGTAAGCAAGTAGACATGAATTCTACCTGCTGGTTCAAAGTTGTAGCTGGCTTCTGTTTTCTCTCTCCCAATCTCCCTTCTACTTTCCCGTCTTTCTGACTTGACCCCAAGATGTATGAAGAAATAAAGTAGGGAAAACACAGAAGATAAAGATACCTTTAAAAATTGCTATTTCTGATGAACAGGGAAGAGATGTATATGACATTAATTGTTTTAATGAAAATTAAGAAAACATGGAGAGGGATAAAGTGGGAGACAGATTAAGAGAGTTTGATTACAGGGCTGGGGATTATAGATCAGTGGTAAGATGCTCGCCTGGCATGCTTGAAGCCTTGGGTTCAGTCCCCCCACACCACCAAAATAAACGAATAAATAAATACATATTAAAAAGAAAGTTTTATTAGAATAAGTTCAAAAGCAGGATCAAAGCAAATGAATGGAGACTAGTCTCCTATCCATCTGCCTAAGGCAGTGGGAAGTCATGGGGGGAAATATAAATATAAATCAGAAAAGATTCAAATGTTCACAAAACTTTATGTTAAAAAAAAGATTAGATAGAAGGGAAATTTCAGATATGACAAGACTCAATAGAAGAGGTGACAGAGCTGCCTTAAGATGAAAAGCTGTTGTAGGGAAGAAAATAAATCAGGCAAGAAGTGCTGTTTCGCCTGGGGAGACACTGG